GATAGATAGATAGATAGATAGATAGATAGATAGATAGATAGATAGATAGATAGATAGATAGATAGAGGATAGATAGATAGTCCTTGACTTATGACCAGGATTGATTTCACTATGTTAGTAACTTAAGAACAGTGATTGACTGAACAGCTGTGGCACAAGAGGTTGTAAAATGGGGGAAAACTCACTTACACCAATGTCTCACTTAGCCACAGAAATTTTGGCACCATTGCCGCTATACCTGTATACCTACAACGGTCGTGTTTTTATGACCTCTGTCATCAGTGGCAGCCTGGTGTCCTGCAGAGGTTTAGGACTACAAATCCCATGCTCCTTGATGAAGACTTGAGAGCACTCGACCTCTTTCCATTTAACTTTTTCCAATGTTTCCAAGCCACAATGTTTGGTCTTTCGGATAACGTCGCGTTTCCAGTCAAATGCTGGTTTATAGGCCGTCAAAACCTCAACACAAAAAAACCCCACCCCTCAAACCTAGTTTTATTGTAGCTTGTCATTACCTGTCCTCATTCGTGTCACAAGCGTCTCCCACCAGATCGCTGTCCATGTCTGTCTGAAAGAGACCGGGATTGTCAGGTGAACAAGCAAGCATCTAGACGGCGTAGCATTTGGGAGAGGCCAGCATTTGAGGTTTCCCCAGGTTTTACAGAATTTGCAGCACCCTGAATCCCCCAATCCCTAAGATAAATATCAGTCTACGAGTCTCGTAACTTCCTGGAGGATCAAACCTGAGTTGGATTGCTAAGCTCTGGACAGCTGTCGCAAGCATCCCCAACACCATCTTCATCACGGTCTGTCTGTAGCGGATTGGGTACCTTTGGACAATTGTCCAGCCCGTTGGGAATCCCTAGAGAAGGAGAACAGGAGTTAGCAAAGCGGCTTCCTCTTTGGTTTCCCTGTGTCCGAATCTTTTTCAACATGCTTCTCCTTGCTCACAGCAAACTCTACACATGAGCTTTCCTTGCAAGGAAATTTACAAATCAAATTCTTCGGATTTTCCCGCGAGGAAAGTACATTTTTCCAACACGCTACGCCACCCAGACACAGTTGGGTTGGCCAACTGAACCAATCATGTTTATTTGGGTGGACCCCTTGACTTACGGTGATTCATTTAGTGACCAATGTTACAACGGTACTGGGGAAAAAAGGGACTTTGGAGAAGTGAGGGGGAATTTCCTGACAGTGAGACCAATTAATCAGTGGAACAGAAGTTGCCTCCAGAAGTTGTGAATGCCCCAACACTGGAAGTCTTTAAGAAGATGTTGGATAGCCATTTGTCTAGAATGGTATAGGGTTTCCTGCCTAGNCTGCCTCCGACACAGAGCCCTCCTCAGAGCCTTCCCCAGACTCCAGGACTGGCCCAGGTTCCTCCCCAACCCTCCTCACTGTCCGAATCTGGCGGGCCACAACAGTTCTTCCATTTGTCTTCTCCTTGTACCTGGTTAAGGACAACCCAGTTGGGGTCAATTTGAGCATCTCCCTCAGGGTCCAAGATGACCGTCTGGTAGGCCCGGAAGTCGGTCAGCGTCACTTCAGAACTCTCCGGACACACGTCCATCGGATCGGCCACTGTGTCGTTGTCAAAATCCTCCTCGCAGGCATCTCCCACCCCGTTGCCTACACAGTGAACGCCAAAGGTGTTACTCCGGTAAACTAAGTTTGCTTGGCACGAACCAAGAAACAAGGACGTTCCAGTTACGCATTTATTTAAATCAAGTTTTTATCATTCTAACTTGGTTAGTAGGAAACACATCCATAGGAATTATAGAAGAAATCTTCTTACAATCATTCATTTAGTGACCGCTCAAAGTTGAAAAAGTGACAGGGTCGTTTTTCACACTTAACGACCATTGCAACTTTCCCACGGTCATGGAACCAAAATTCGGAAGCATGGCAACTGACTCGTGTTTATGACGGTCGCTGTGTCCCGGAGTCGGCCTTCTAACATGCACAGTCAATGGGGAAGCCAGATTCACTTAACAACTGTGTGACTAACTTCACCGCAACAGTGATAACACGTAACCACGGTGGCGAGAAAAGCTAGTAAAATGGGTCGGAACTCCCAGAACAACTTGCCTATGTAGCAACGGACATTTTGGCCTCAATTGTGGTCGTAAGTTGAGGACTACCTAACCAGGAGTTGGCAAACCTAAACACTCAAAGAGCCATTTGGACCCGTTTCCCACAAAAAAGAAAACACCGGGAGCCACAAAGGTCCTAACTGGAAGATCCCTGTTCACTTTTGGAGCTCACTGGAAGTTCAGTTCCCCCACCTCTAGTCTCTTCCTAGAGCGGGGTCCTTTTTCCTCTACCTGTCATAACCGAAATCCCTATCAATTGTGGAGACAACTGGAAAACCCTCCCCTTGCCATAGAGTCTCCTCCTGTCGCACTGTGCTTCTCTTCTCCCCCCCCCCACCGGAAGCTCCTCTCAGAATTGTGGTGCCGACCGGTGACGGAGCTGCAGCAGAGGGAGGAAAGAGCCACATGCGGCTCCAGAGCCGCAGTTTGCTGACCCCTGACCTAAACCATTACAGGACAGGAATCATCCTAGATCTCGGAGCCGCATGTGGCTCTTTCATCCCTCTGCTGCGGCTCCCTCTTGCTCAAAATATGCCTCACAACTGCCAATGTGTGCCACCCGCTGGCACTTGGTTTATTGAGCTTCCAAAATCCCAGTAGGCCAAACCACGGTTAAATCCAAGAAAAGAAAATTTTCAGACGGAAACGGAATGTTTACTTCAACTACATATCCTGGTTTTGTGGCTCCCAGTGTTTTCTTTTCTGTGGGAAATGGGTCCAACTGGCTCTTTGAGTGTTTAAGATTGCCGAGTTTAAGGTCCTAGTATCACACCTACAATCAAGAGCTCTCTGGGGGGCGGCGGGAGGGGGAATTGAGGTTTAAGATCTCTTCACTTCCCACAAGGACAGTTACCGTCGACGTCTTTCTGGTTGGGATTAGCAATCAGGCGGCAGTTGTCGGGCCCAGGAGGCAGGTAGTCAGGGATCCCGTCATTGTCGTCGTCATTATCGCAGTCATCGCCCTGCCCGTCGTTATCTGAATCCAGCTGCGAGCTGTTAGGAATCTCCGCACAGTTGTCTTTGGTGTCTTGGTGGCCGTCTCCGTCTCTGGCAGAGACAAGGATAGATAGATAGATAGATAGATAGATAGATAGATAGATAGATAGATAGATAGATAGATAGATAGAT